TTCTGATCGATCATCCTGAACTCTAAGTGGTTTTAATCGATTAAAACCAAGTTGTATCGATTAAAATACTGCAAAAACACTTCTCTTAACATTTTAAGTGTTTTTAATCGGTTATTTCGAAGCTTTATCAGTTAAAACACTGACAGAAGGTTTTCAAAACTTTCTTTAATGAAAACAACCAGTTATTTCGAAATTATATCAGTTAAAACTTGTTTAAGAAAGCTTTTGTTAAAATACTTTGTTTTTAACTGCTTAAACGTATTTAGAGGCATTTTGCAAAATCTTTTAAGTGCAGAAACCTCATGCAGCAGAAAAGATAAAAATGATTATACCTAAGTATAGCTGAAGACACACTAATTCCTCTACTCTTTTATCAAAGTGACTGTTGACCGCTACAAAGTTGACTTTGACTTTATTTTTTACTTCATCAAATCAATAAGATCTTTGTCAGAGTGTTTCAATAAGATCTTCATCACTTTCATACAATAATTAATATTCTTAAGTAATTTATATTTTTATTTATAATTTTTTAATATATATTTGAGAAATTAATCAATTATAATCTATTATTTGAAAAACTAATCAATTCTAATCATTTATTTAGAAAACTAATCGATTATAATTAATTATTTGAAAAAATTATCCAATATGATCGGTTATTTGAAAATTTAATCGATCATAATGGTTGTATATGATAGCGGTTCCACTTGAACCGCTCTTAAAACAGAACATCTAATAGCGGTTAAACCTTAACCGCTATCTAAAATATAGTTTAGATAGTGGTTAACGTGGAACCGCTATTATATAGTTTCAAATATAAATTTAAATATATTTTTAATTTATTTAAATATGCTTTATTTTTAGTATTTATAAAATAGATTAGTTTTAAATTTTTAACTTTTCTAGCGATCTATTTTTAATCTTTGTTATTAATTATGTTAAAAATGAAAAAATATTAATTAGTATACTTAAACTAATGTATATTGATTATCTAATGTATATTGATATAATTTTTTTGTATATCAATTATATGAAAATAACCATGGTTAAGTAATTAATAATAATAAAGCAATAAATTTAAAGATTAGATTAAAAATAAAGTTTTATAAAATAAAGTTTTATAAAATAAAATTGTAATAATTTGATTAAAATTTTATTTTCTAAATTAATTAAGTTAATGAGGAATTAAAATGTGATCATTTGATGTGTTTAATTTTTTTAATATAAATTTTTAAAATATAATTTAATTTCAATTGAAATTTTCAATTGAAAAATAAATTAAAGAATATTTATTATTAAACTTTTCTTAAACAATGTATTGAATAATTAATATTACTCTAGTCTTAATTTATTACAATTTAAATTTTTAATAAATTAGATTTATTTTTAATAATATTTTTATTTTAGTAATTTAAAATTAAAGTTAATCTTCATTTTGTTAATATTGAGACCAAAATTTATTTTTAAAGTATCTTTTAAAAATTAAATTATTTTTAGAAAATAAATTACTTTTAAAAAATAAATTGTCAAAAATATACTAAAAGAATTAAAGTATATTTATAAAAAAATAAATTTAAATATCATAAGAAAATAATGTTCGTTAGCGATCGATTTAAATTCGGTCGCTATTTTCTCATTAGCGACCGATTATAATTCGGTCACTATTTCAATTTGTAATTCGGTCGCTAAATCAGTCGCTAAATGTTTTTTTTTATTTTAGTGTGGAATAGCCACCGATTTAGCGACCGAAATTTTGCGACGCAAATTATTGGTCGCTATTTCGGTCGCTAAATAACAAAATGAAAACCAATTCATATTTTGGTCGCTAAATCGGTCGCTAATTGCGACCGAATTAAAGTGGTCGCTGAATCGGTCGCTAATTGCGACCGAACTAAAGTGGTCGCTAAATCGGTTGCTATTTGCGACCAAAATTAAATCGGTCGCTAAATCGGTCGCTATTTCCGACCGAAAAAATTCGGTCACTAATTTCGATGGCTAAATGTCATTTTTCTTGTAGTGAATGATGATGATGATGAAGAATATGAGAATGATGATGAGGAGGAGGATGATGATACGCAAGCAAACATTCAACTTCAACCATCACAAGGTCGTAGACATGTTATAAAAGCACAACAAAGGTCTATTTAAGACCAACCACGTAGATCAAGACGATAAATAAGAATATCACTTTGTGGGGCAGGGTTTCATCATTAATTTTTTTGTAATAATTTATATATGCATGTAATATTTTAATATAAATGTAGTGAATTAAATTTAACAATGTTTGTCTAATTATTTTGATTTTGTATTAAATTAATAATTCAATTAAAAATAATTATTTAATAAATAATATATTTTAAAAAATAAACATATCGTATTTTTCCATAAAATAAAAGTAAGAAACTCGTGCTACCATATATGTTTTTGGTTTAAAAAAATAAGAAACTCTTACTATCAAGCACATTTAAAAAAATCCAAAATTGTGAATCAAAAATATGCTTCCAAACATGATTTTGAGGATGAAATCGTGTCATCATACACTATTTAACCCATTTTGAAAGAATTAAAAATTTTTGACCCCTTTTAATAAAATCAAAGTTTTTTTTACCCAATATATTAAAAAAAAAAAAAAAAAAAACGATGATAACGGTAGAGACTGTACTTACCGTCACAAGGTTTGCAGGAAATACTTTTAAATAAATTTGGTGTATTTGTCACAAATTCCATTTTGAATTGTGACAGACCTGAAAAATATTTTGCCTCAAATATTTTTTAGTAATATGCCATGGGTAATTTTGCAAAGATACGTGATAGATAACATTTCTTATGATATATTATATTTTCTTTTCTCTATTTGATGAGATAAAAAATTGTTATAATTTTTTCTCTCTCCACTTTTTAAATATATCTCATATTATTTTTCTATTAATTATATATAATCTTTTTTTCTTTTTTCAAAAACGGTTATGAAAAAAAAATCTACATTGTAATTACTTATTATTAGAAATAATCTATATATTCATTATTTTCCATTCTTGATTTATGTAACTTTTTTTTTTAAAGCTTGGTTTACTTTAAAACTTTACCGAGAAACATATTGTTTTTGGAGAATGAAAGATTATGGATGATAACAAGAATCATTGGAGGAAAAGGATGAAAAATTTATACAGTAAACTTTCACAGAATCTTGAATTAATATGCACTACTAATATATCTCAACAATGATATCTATGACATTTAGGTAAAATAGAGAATATCACATTCAAATAAATTTGTAATTAAGAGTAGATTAAGATGATCTTCATAATCTTATCCATGTTCTCTAGACATTGAAAATCAAGTTTAAAAAACTCTCAAGATCTACAAAATAATAATAAAAATTTAATTTATAAATTCTATGTCTCAATTTTCAAAATTAGTCAAGATCTCAAAACGAGATTTATTATTAAATAAAAAATTAGACAAAATTGTCTTTTCTATGTATATATAATATATAATTTGTGACTGAGTATATGTTGATATAATGTTATTTGTATTTATAATATATTTAAGATATATTTCTCACTCTTTGATTTATATTGTTTATTTCAGTAAATTATAGAAAAAAAATTAAAAAGAAAAAAATAAATTACAAAACTTAAAACTTTCTTTATTATTATTTTTTCAATGAGATGTTTTGATACATTGTGACATCAGAGGAGATAATATTAATTTGAGATTTATTTTGAAATTTTATTATTATTTTTTTTTAAAGTGATTCTGTTGCATAAAAATACTTTATTATGATTTTTTTTTGTGAGTTTGTTTAGAGAAGTGATATGTATAATTTTTTTACTTTTTTATTTTCATAGTTTAGTTTTCTAGAAGAGTGTAATATTTTTTTTTGTTTGTTTTATTTGATGTGAGTTACATTTTAATTAATAATTATTTTACTGAATTCTCATCTCACTTTTGTAAAAAAAAATTCATCTCTTTTACATTATTTGAAAATTACAACGATTACGAACTTCTTTATTGTTATAAATATTTTTTTAATAAATTTATAACTAATAGTGGATTATCATGTACATAATACATTATTATATCATTAAAAGTATTATTTTATTAAAGAATTTTTATTAAATATTTAAATCATTAATCAATATTTTTTATAATTTTAATTATAATTCCGATTTTAAAAAATTAATATTTATTTACAAACAGTTAATGTTATTTAATATTAAGATACATCATCGTCCTGCTTTAACATTAGTTAATAATGGGAATAACTAAATTGGGTAGCCTTATATATAAAAAATTATATTAAGAAATTTTAAAACATAAAAAAAAAGAGAATTAGTTAAAAATATAAGGGAAAAATAGTATTTTAATCTTTTATTCTTCTAATTAAATAGTTTTAAAAATGTTTTTCAATCAGATAACTTTTTTCACTGTAATTCACCTATTAATTACCTTCACTTTTTTTATCTTCCTCTCTCAATCAACAAAGATGGAGAAGGTTAAGTGAGTGAATATTAATTCAAAAATATTTCCTTTTCAGCTTTTCGAACGTTAAATCAAATCACGTAATTGTGAAAAATCATTGATATCAAGCACACAAAAAAAAAATAAAAAGTCATCGATATCATGGTCAAATTTTCGTCAGAAATAACAACGCTGGAAACCCTTTTTCTTCAATGGTTCAAATGAAAGCCGTTGGCAATATTATAACTCATCCACGCAGGACTCTTCTTACTTTTAATCAACGCTTTACACTGTTTGATGTTTATCATAATCCTCTCTCTCTCTCTCTCTCTCTCTCTCTCTCTCTATATATATATATATATATATATATATATATATATATATATATATGAGAAATAAAAAGTCATTTTATTCTATAAAAATATACTTACTAGTTTCTTTGCTTGTTTACTTTTGCTAACCATACTGATTAGTTTAAACCCTGTTTTGTGTTAATCTACATACTGATTGAAACAGCTATAAGATAGAGTAACTAGATACAGAATGTGCCACGCCACCATGATGACCATGCTGTGTCATCACTTTTTATCTGTAAAGGAAAGCATCATGAACACTACATTGTGTTCAAAACTTCAGGTGAAATATGGTCCAAATTCACGGCGTTCTCATGATAAGTCTTAGAAAAGGCTTGAAAACTCATTGAGTGGAACTTATCCTTAGCAGTTTTCTTATGTTGCAGCCTCAAGTAAGTATCAATCTAGCACTTGGAATAGTGCAGAGATAAAATCCCTGAAGCCCACATGAAAGATTTGTAGCATATATGGAGAAAGAAAGAAAGAAGAATCTGAGCAATTTGTCTTTTGTGCAAAAACTAACATGATCACTACCACACCGAGCCAACTTTTGCGAATCTGATACTCCCTCATATATTTATGCTCATATATCCAAAGCCAACCACCGCTAGAGAGTACACACTACACCTCACTCTTTATTTTGCTTTCATGCACTTGCGCGCTTTATCATCCCATCAAACAACTAAGATCGTGTGAAAGGTTGCATGGCTTTAGAAACCATTTAACATCTCTCTCTCTCTCTCTTCCTTCCCAATGTGGGTGTTTTTGAAAATACAGAAAATCCCATGTTGAGAGATGGTGCTAGATTTCGTAAAGTTATGACTGCATTAACTATTTGGATATGTTGGTACTCTTGTTATTAGACAATAACCATAAAATATAACACTTTTCTTTTAACACTTTTACTAACATGATCTCGTTCTCTCAATAAATATATTACTTTTATTATGATATCATAGAATAATTAATCTAAATATAAACTATGAATAAAACAATTAATGAAAATAACACTTAATTTGAAATTATTTTTAATAGATTAAAATTGTAACTATTGTTAAAAGGTTAGGTTAGGTTATTTTGTTTTTCAAATATGTGGTCAATTTTTTTAATTTGTAATAAATATTTTATCTCAAAACATTACTCATTGAACTTGAACTAAAATAGCTAGGTGTTGCTTTTTATCTAGAGTGTATGGTGGTTACTATTTCATTGGGGGTAATGAATAAGTTTGGAATCTCTTTATGCAAATCAAAAGATATTCCGCCAAGGTTTTTACACATAAGGTTAGGGTTCTAAGGGGAGAGTGGAAAATTTACGAAGTATATGGATTTTTTAAGACCATAGAGAAAGGTCTTTCGGCAAAAGACTCTAGAACCTTTCTTCTCTCTTAGTTCCAAGGTAATTGGTTTTATACAACTCAATCCACGTCATATTTGAAGTGTTAAAACAAAAAAGCTACTTAAGCAAAGATTCAAACCAATAAAAGGTGGTAACATATATATAGGAGTGTCGCATAGATAGCCGTTTTACTTGAATGTGATTACTTGTTCTCAGCCAAAATTTATGTGCCAAAAGGATTTGACCTTAACTCTTTTAATTTTTCCGCCATCTATAAATCATTTGGTTGCTTCTTTTACTTTTTGAGTTCAACAAGCATCCTAACTAGTTTTTGGATCTAATCACTTTAGAACAAGAATTATGCTACGAAGGAACTCAAGCCGTAAAGATAATGTTGCATCCCTATTAATGCTCAATAATGTCAGCATCAGAAAAAAATAAAAATAAAATAAACACATTCAAATAGTAATGAAAATTTCTGCGAGTACTCGTTAGTGAGTAGTAACTAAGCGCGCTGTATACTATAAGTGGGTATGTGATGAGGAAAGAAGCAGTCAAAGATTTTGTGTTGTAATGATTAAAGTGGTGGGTATGTCTTTACTCATATGAAAATGATTTTTTAAGGAAAGGACGATAAACAAGGAACAAAGGAAACAGTAAAGAAAAAGTGAGTTTGGATGGCAGGGAAAAGAAATAAAGGGCAAAAATTATAAAAAAAGAAAAGAAATGAGAGACTGTGTGCCAGGTAGATTTGTTTAGATGCTCAGTGGACCCTCTTGGAGTCAGGAACTGATGCATGATAAAAGGGTTCTTTTCCTCTGGGGCTAAAATTAAAGCCAAGAGAATTATCTCTTGGTCCCACTCCATGCCCCACCAACTCACCTTGCTCTATTACTTCCATGGATCTCTAGTTCTATATCACTCACCTCCAAAGATATCAGTTTTTTTTTTTTTTTTTAATGTGATCTATATGGATGAAGAACCTACTGAGATATGGCTGTATTATAATTAAAAACAACTCAGTTTAGTTCATATTGAAAAAAGTGAAACGCAAGACTACTTTTGTGCGCAATAATAAAGCTAACACAAGATTTAGCATAGTCACTTTCATATTTCAACACTATTTTGAGTATGAATTTCTTGACTCCAACTCCCAAATCTTGGTACTAACAGTGCTATCTACTTTGAGTAGTTTATGTTGCTAAGTGCTGGTCTTGATTTAACATTCATTGATTAGATACGCGATGATGACAAGTGTTGTAAACAAATATTAGATCACAGAAACCATAAGTTATGGATCCCCCTTTGTCCAACATCCACTAAGATTATAGCCACCCTTGTATAAAAGTAAAGCCAAAATACAATAATAATATATTATCTAGTCTCGTATGTTATACTTATAGCATGTAGGCATTGTTAAAATAAGTGAATGTTCAGGAAGGAATATTGCAATACACAGCTTTGAAAATAAACTATTATGAATGTTGCAGCATGTCACTTCTTGCAACATGCTCTTGATACTTTACTCTGCCACTTTAATTTTCTGTGCTTGATCCTAATTTAATACACCTGCTTCACCATCACACATGGTTAAGAGATAATTAAATTATTTTTCCTTATTTTGTCCATATTTATTAGTTGTTTGTGGTAGTATCAAATCCAAACTCAAACTTGATCATCTCCCTTTCACACACAGAAAAGAGTAAAGCACTAATCTTCATTTAAGTAATGTTCTTTTAGCATTATTTTTTCCATCTATTGATGTGGGTTACATAATTAGAGATTACTCTGGCCTCTGCTTTAAATTTTGTATTCTTTCGTAAAGGCAAAGTGTAGCCAAAGTTTATATTAGTGGAAAAATAAATACTATAATTAATACCGTATTAGGACATGTGTTTAATTCATGAACGGATATTTGGTTCGTATGGGCCCAATTAAAATCGATTTAGCCATTTATGTAGTTACACATCGAATTGGGACACATTAGGACTTACAAAATCCACATGCCTAGTATGTTTCTTTAAAACTAGATCAGTTTTAAAGAAAATAATTATTCGATAATCATTTTGAGTTTTATTTTTATTCATCATCCAATCACTTTGGTTTAAATTCAATCTAATCTATTATTGTTTAAATTGGATCACTATTGAAAATTCTCATTTTTTATGGGAATATTTTTGCAAAGTTTTTGTAAAAATTGCAAGAAATAAGTTTTCTATAAATTTAAACAATTTTTTGCAAGAAAATTGGTAGAAAAAAACTAGTTTTCTAGTAGAGGATTGATTTCCTATTTTAGTATTTATTTATTAATAAAATGTTAATAAATAATAAGATACATAAGTATCAAATACAACATCTATAAGTTATTATATATAGTTAATGACAAATATCACTCTCATATATATGAAGAGGTTTAAGGAATTCAAATTTAAGTCCTAAGCAACAAATAATGCATTCTATCCTAACTAAAATGATGGCCAATAACCCACTTTGAAAAACTCTATCATAGCTATGTAGGTTTCGTTAATATTTGTCATGGATAACCATAAAGTGATAGTAATCATTTGACTTGAAGATACTATCCAACATGAACAAGTTGTAACATTTAATGTCATCAAACATAATTTGTAGTGATAGTTTGTAATAATATGTAATTAGGTTTTCAACAAATCATGTTGAGAGATATGAGTCATATATAGACAAAATTTGTTCCTCAAACTAGTTTTGTCTTTAAACTCCTCGATAGAGAAAGAAGGTATAATATATTTGATCACTTACAAATAGGTGAATAAGTGAATGTCTTAATTTGGTTATCTACTCTAGTATTAAAGAGTCAAATAGTTGACTAATCATGATAACATTCTTATATCTCATATCTGATTAAAACATAAAGTTCAGTAAATATTGACTCCACACTAAATACGAATTAGAGTTGGATCATTAGTTTTTCATGGATTAGGTAGTAATTATGTATTGATATATATATATATCAATCACCATTTATATTATTTAATTAGTATTATATAGTTAGTCTTGTGGCAACTATGATATATCACACATAAAATGAATAAATTAAATGTGATTTAATTAGATTCATATATAAATAATTAAATAAATTTGATTAATTGATTAAAAACATATCCAATTAAATGAAATAAAATGTGGTTAATTAGACAAGTTCAATTATGGGTTTTGGTTTTGGTTGTGATTTGATTTGTATGGAGTGTTATCCTAATATGTTGAACTTGTAAGATTAGTGATTTTGACAAAGTTTTACTAGTGTAGATTGAATAGAGACATTATTGGTAATAAAGATAAACCCCTACAGTTTAAAAGTATGCTACAAAGTTAATCTCAAAACCGGTAGAGATTGATGTGTAATACGTAGTTAATGTATTTTTTTTCAATGCATAGAAATTAAACTTAAAGTTTAATTAGGTTCTGAGAATGTTTTAAAATTCACGTCTACAATGTTATACTCTTTGTTAAATATAGTCTGTAACTAACTAGTTTTCGGAGTTTAACCTTCGAATCTACGTTGTAGATCGATGATTGATGATTCATATTATGCCCTAGTTGATCACAAACCCAGTTAAGGAATAACATTGTACCTACGATTAAAAAATATGAAAAACGTCTGATACAAATTCTGATGATCCCAGAATACAAAAGTGGAAGCCTACACCGTCTCAAAAAACATACTGCAAGATTGTCGTTTTCTACCACAAGATTGTAAGAATACATGGGTAGGTAGTCTGAATCTTTCTACCACAAGATTGTAGTTTTCTTTCTCTTTTTTCCACATTATTGTATCATAAAAGAAAACCATGGGGCAGCTTTGGTACAATAACTTGCACATGATGTTACAATACGTATAAGATTCTATACCTTATTCCGCTTTGCATGGAATGCCAAGAATCTAATTATGATATCTAGAAAACACCCTGACAACATAAATCACATGCTTATACGTACACCTATGAAACAAGTAGTACATACGCATTGATTATACTATGTATGTATGTTAATTCTGGAATACGTAACAGTATAATGATGAAAGATACCATGTATTATACGATTAAAAAATGTGACAGCGATTATTTAAATAAAATAGGCCTAGTATTGCGTGTTGTAGGGATGGACGGTTTGTGGCCCACACAGCCTTTTGAGAGGGACTCTGATTTTTGTTAGTTTGTGAGCAGACAAAAGCAGAGAAGCTTCTTATCCTCTCCCTCTAGGTTTTCACACAACACCTTACATATAGAATCTGTTCAAAAGCCAAAGGGCTTCCTTTGGGACTTTAGCCCCTCAATTCCCATCAAAATCACTCATCCAACCACTTCCCTAACTGTTTTATTTGTGCTTCCAACCTTAAACCAACACTTTGTAATTTACATCAATTCTAGGGGCATGTCCCCACTACTTTGATCTCAACAGTGGCCTATTTAGTCCCATGTCATATAACCTGTTTTGGTTCATGTCCTGTGCCACCAATTTCCAAATTTCCCTCTCTCTCTCTCTCTCTGTAACATTGATCTCACTCTGCCATGGCTCCAATGAGTCTCCCACCTGGGTTTAGGTTCCACCCCACTGATGAAGAGCTTGTTGCTTACTACTTGGAAAGGAAAATAACAGGTCGCGCGATAGAGCTTGACATCATTGCTGAAGTTGATTTATACAAGTGCGAACCTTGGGATTTGCCAGGTATATAGGCGATATCCTACATATGATTCACATCATGACAGAAACATTAGCTATATATCATGTTATGATTTACTTTTGTTATGTCAATGATATTTGATGGTTCAACTAAACTAACATTATATTGTTTTTTTTTTTGGAATTTATATATGAAAAAAACAGATAAATCATTCCTTCCAAGCAAGGACAGGGAGTGGTACTTTTACAGTCCTAGAGACAGGAAGTACCCAAATGGGTCAAGAACTAACCGTGCAACACAAGCTGGATACTGGAAAGCTACAGGGAAAGATAGACCAGTGCACTCTCAAAAGAAGCCAGTTGGCATGAAGAAGACATTGGTATATTATAGAGGTCGAGCACCACATGGCATTAGAACAAACTGGGTTATGCATGAATACCGCTTGATCGAATCAGTGCCTGGTGTTGCTCTTTCATCTTTGAAGGTATGTTATCTCATATGATACTCCATTTTTTTAGCCATTTTTCATCAACAAAGCCAAATATCAGTATATAAAAGGTTCTCAAACTTATATATAAATCTATAATATGAACAAATAAAATCATCAATAGCTTATCTCATGTCACTGTTACTTCTATCTTCATTATTTTCATTTCTATCTCGTTTAGATGGAACGTGTTTCTGAGATACTAGCTTAATTAAAACTTTGAGGTTTTATGAATATAAATATAATTATAATGAGTGAGACTAGGGTTTTCCTAGAAAAATGAAAATGACAAATAAAGGAAGAAAACAGTAGACCGTAAATTTTTTCGTTAGATTAATGTATAGAATAATATTAAGCTTCATCCATTCCAAAATTTTCTCTTCCTCCCCACTTTTTTTTTTTTTTTTCTATCTCTATTTTTTCCGTATATCATCTCACATATTCCTTTTGTTTTTCAGACAAGCGTCATTTTTCTATTGAATAGGGAAATGGATTATTTATTTCCTTTTCGGTACCTTGAAAGTGTAGCTGATAATAATTGAATAATTATGTACACTATATAGAAGAAATCCTAAAAAGCCTCAAAAGTCTTCATATAAGACGAGACCAATGACCAAAATCCTCGCTTAGTGCTTGCTTTTAGTTAAGTCTTTCCCCAAAATTGGTCCAACACTCAGAGGGTTTTAGGTACACTTCTTTTATGATTGATTTACATCTAAGTACGTGATAATTATTAGGTCATAGAGTCAAGCACTAGACCAGACCCATTTTCTATGCTAAGCGTGAATATAGAGTACCTATGATAAACCCAATCTTTGTTTGGAACCTTGTTCTACAAGGATGCACATGCCTGCAATATATATTCCCTTTATTTTTATTTTTTCTTTTTCTTTATATGATTTGCATACTTTTATTTTTCTCCTGTTTAAAAAGAACAGCTTGTGATCGACACACTATGGTGAAAAATTTAGATCATGGACTTAGATACTTACTATTGCATCGACTCTTTTCTTTTGCCAAACTCTTTCTGAATTTGCTTTTTTGTTCGTTACTCTTTTCTTGCATTCAGTGTTAAACCAAACCCAAAAAAAAAAAAAAAAAGAACTTCGATCGTGAAAAGCTAACTAGCATACACATGTATTGACAAAATTTTCATCCAAATCACAGGATTCCTATTCGTTGTGTCGCATTTTCCAGAAGACGATTCAAATTCCTGCCAAACCTAATAAAGAAGAAGAACAAGCCGAGGATGGAAAGAAGGAGTCAATGTGGATCTCAGAAGAACAAATGTTAGGGGAAGACTCGAGTGGCACTGAGATTTCTAGAGAAATGGAAATTGTGGAGGACAAAATTCTCAACCATGAATACCCTAAATTTCCTTGTGACGCTTCTTCCTCAGATCTCACTCAGGGAACATGCACACCCACAGACACTGGTATAGCAGAAGATTTCCAACCTCAATTTGCTTGTGATGAAGCAAACAGTGCAACTAATTCATATACAATGGGAATAGGATACCCCACAAATCTATTTCAGGTAATTTAGATTAAATTTTAAATTTCGAACTTTGATTAATTTCATGTTTGTTAGAGTTTGTATTATAGCACTAGTCACGTAGATGTGGCATGAATATATAGTTTTATGGGAGACATATAAAAAGAAAGGTGGGCCATAGCATGATCATTATTATATGAATTGATCTGATTAGTATTTTAACTTTTCCTTTTTCTCCATTATCCTTGGCATTTATGTTCATGATGGCTTCCTTTGCCAATCCTGCATTTCCAGCAACATTGCTGCTTTATACTGTCCCTTTATAAATGTATGACTTCATAGTCACACCTCAAATAGAACATATAAATGTATAGAATTACTTCAAGTTCTGAGTTACTAACATATATGTGCATGAACTTGATCCCAGCATCCTCATGTGTCAGTTTATTATTGATGAACATGTTGCTATTAGTGGGGCCACATAGCATATCTTTGAGTTTTCTTTTGATCTTAAAGTGACAATAGTTGGAAGTATGATGAAGTTCCTATCTTTTCATAAAGCTCACTTCTCTAAAATTCATTTGGACTGACTCCAATTTAGCTTTTCTTCACCATCCCCTATAACTTCTTTTGACTGACTACTCAAAACGTTTTCCAAAGTAAAGATGTCTTTACTCCCCCATTTTCCTCACGGGTTGATACGTTCTAAGACTAAAGCACACATATCAAACATCCACATATACATCTTTATCTTTAATCACACTCTTTTTTATGAGTATTGTCTGGATCATTTCCTATTTTAGCAAAAGCTAGTTCAGTGAGAAGCGGCTTCTGAATCCTTCCGTCAGCATTGAACTAGCTTTACAATGTTCATACAGGGATGTATGCATTTGATTGGGGACTTCAACCAGTTCATTTTACCACTCCCACCCTTAAATCAAAACAAAACACCTTTTATTCTTTTCCTTTTAAGCCTATAAACCACAATTCTAACCCCACTTTTCTTTTGCCACTTGCACTACTCCCAACTTGTGCTTTATTTCCAATTTAGCATGCCTTATACCAGTGTCTTCATAGTCAAATCACCTGTCCCTATTTCATATCTCATTCTACATTCTCTCAACCCAAAAACCGACACGTTCAAAAAAATAATAATAATATATGAACCACTCTTTTTCAACACTTATTATTTCTGTCTCTAGATATCATTTAAATGTGTTATTTTCTTAACCTCATTTCTTTTTAATTTTTAAGTTGAACCACCAATGGAGAGAAAGTGGGGGAAAGATATTCTCTAAAACAACATCAAAATTCTTAAATATTTCAAGGGTACCGTAGAATTTCTCTTTCTAATCAGTAGGTCAAAAAATAGAGTAGTGATAATTCAATTACTTCTCAATTCACTGTATCAATTGATCCTTCTACTTTTAGTACATAGGGAATTGAAGATTAATACAATTTCAATAATGGTGCAGGATGTGGAAATACCTTCCTATGCTGGCATGCATTATCAACTCCCATATACACCTTTGGTGCTGGAAGATTTCCCTCAAATAACTTTACCTGAGACAAAGTCAACGAAGCCAGAAATAACTGATGACTGCATGTTATACGACAGATACAGGGACTGTATGAATGGAACACTAGAAGAGATCATCGCTTTGTGTTGCACTCAAGATAATTCCGTCCCTTTTCCCATGCTAGAATGATTATACTAACCCAGATGACTCAAACTATAGCATCCAAAATATTCATTGACACAGAGAAACTTGTGTTAGTTAAAAATAACGACACAAACGGGGATTGTTTTTCCAGCCACATAGAAAAGGCTACACATATAATGTACTAAACATATAGTAGAAGATGCTGAGCCAAGGGGAGCTCGCATACAATTGGTTTTTCATTTTTTTTTTTTTTTCCTTTTTTTCATTTCTTTTTGTGTTCTTCCTGTTTTTTCATAGGGGGTTCTTCCTTATTTTATGTTGGTGTTCAAATCCCTTCTCCACTTCGGAAAGCAAATGGATGAGGCAAGTTTCCAATAGTGATGCTTTATATGATTCAAAGTCTCACTTTTATCACTTGTGCTTTACTTTAGTTAGTTTTTATCCTCAAAAATTTACATTTTAGATTACTTAAATATTCTTGATATATATGACTACTTCTCTGGCCATAAATTTTATAAGTTTTTATCAGATTACTGTAAATCGTATTTGAGAAGTACTATATATATACACAATTAAGAGCGACTCAAATGAATGTTAAAAGAAGCATCATGCTATTATTTTTCAAGCCATATCTTATTGATGAAGCAACCGAAAATGTCAAAAAAGATCTCATGAAATCTCATGTTATTACAATTTGATGATGGCACTGGCGCCTAAATAGATGTCCAAGGAAGTCAAATTTCCTTAAAGATGATAAATCTATTATCTAGCATGTTGAGATACTCTAGAATACACATGAGATCAATTAAGATAATAATAATTAGCTAATAACTCACATTAAATCTTTGACAATGACCTATCAAATAAAATTTTTCATAATAATACAAATAGTATAGTGTGAACATTATATATTATTTATAATTTAAATACTTATTATATTATTTATATTTTATTTAACTTAAATGTCAAATTATCTCTCTTTTATTGAAAAAATATTCATTTATTAGAGTTGTGAAGAGAATAACATTTTAATAGGTGGGAGGAGAGTTTATTGGCCTTGTATAAAAATATTACCATGGGTTGAATAAGACTTTCCAATATCATGTATCAACAACAAAACATGACAAATAATGAAGACCTCACAGTAAGAAGTCGGGAGAATCATGTCATTGAGTAGAATGTCGGTCGAGCTTAGAAAAAAGCTCAAAAACGTAAAAAACAAAAACAAAAAAAACATGAGTGTCAATGAGATAGACGTACTAAGGATATACTCAAATACATTGAAAGCTTGAGAAATAATAAGACGAGCACTTCATCCAAAGTCCAGAGTCATGTAGGTTGGAGATAAGGATCTCGAATCATTCTTGTCCACCCTCCCTGCTTCAACCTCAAAGGTATAAGAGGTCGATAGTGACTCAAAGACTAGAACATACTTTCATGCATCCCTAGAACTTTGCAAGATGAAGAGGCAACAACAACATCCCTTTATCACGAGATCATGAAAATTCTTACATACTTAATGGAATAATTTAACAATTGATAAAGACACCATGAATGTAGAGGAGCACGTAAACGTATACGTAATACAAATAATTTATATATAACAAATGATTTTCCTCTTCTGTATGGTTTTCCCAACCTCCCTTTAAGTAGTTTTAACTTGGTTTACTCATCTTTCTTCATACTTCTTGATTGCTTTGACACATTAATAATCAAGTTTAGAATACATTTTATGACTAATAGACCATACCACTTAACATCCATTGTTTTGCTCAATATCAGAAAAGTGTGGGTATGTCATTAAAGAATGTGTCACGCAAAGCACAAAATCGAAGAGTTAGTGTAGGTTAGACACCTTCGTAAACATATTAAGAAAGATGAACAACAAGAAATGAGTTACTAATAGAGAAGAATATGATAACATAAAAGACCACTGTGATAGTTAATAAATCAACAATTCATAATGATTGATTTTGTTGAGACGTTAGGCTCAATTAACTTTTTGTTGTGTTATAAATATAGTGTCTATGTATAGTTTGTAATAATGGTATAAGTAAGAGTAATAAATTTTGATTACTCTCATTTTCTGTAATACCTCTCTCAATATCATTTTCTTCTCTCTTGATACTTTATTCATTGCCTTTTTCGCTATCAGTGATATCAAGAGTTTCAAGATATGGGAAAATTAATGGTGATGGTAGAAAATGGGTTGCAAGACATGTCAATACTAAATAACAAGAATTTGAATAGTTATGATCGTTGGTGCATGCAGATGAAGGCAATTTATGAATTTCAAGAAGTCTTAAATATTATTCTGGTTGGATATGACGAGCTACTGGAGAAGCCTACCAACATACAATGTGTTATGTTTCGATATGCAAAAAACATGATTGTAAAACTTTGTTTTATATTCATCAGTGTGTTGATAAAAAGATTTTGAAAATATTTCATTGGTGAATGCGACAAAAGAAGTATGAGATATACTAGTGCAGAACTACACAAAAGTAGAAAGGTTGAAAAGAATATGACTTTAGACCTTACGCCGTTAGTATGAGTTGTTGCAAATAGGAACTTAAAAAATCAATACTTTACAAGAATGTTCTCTCATAAACTTGATGGAATCATGTGGTGAAATTTCGAAAGAACGAGTGATAGTTGAGAAGGTGTTAAAAACTCTCGATGCAAGATTTAATATGATTTTTACCGCAATCAAAGAATCCAAGAATTTGAATTTACTTAAGTTGAAAGAATTACAAGGGTCACTGGAGGTTCATGAACAATATTTGTGTGAAAAAGTAGGTAATAAATTCACTTCAGAACAAGTTTTATTAGCTAAGCAAAATAAGAAAAATGATGATGATTGAAGCAAATTCAACAAGAGAGATCATGGGAGAAGTTTTAAAGGCAAAACTAACAGAAATTGAGGTTCAAATGAGAGTTCTTCACAAACGAGAGGTAGTTTCTCACAATCAAAAAGTGACAGAGGCAAAAATTCACAGTGGAGAAATGGTTGTTTTGGTTCTAGTGTTGATAAAAGAAAGGTACAATACTATAATTGCAACAAATATGATCATTATGTAGCTGATTACTGGAGAAAAGATTCAGAAGAAGAAGTAAATGTGACACAAAAGGAAGACTCTAAGGATAAAGCTTTGTTAATGGTGACCACAACAAAACTAGAGAAATCATATGAAGAATGTTAGTATTTGGATACAGGTTTTTTAAATCATATATGTCATTTAGAAGAGTTGACTTATCAAGTTGGATGAAAAGATTAAAAATAAGGTGAAGTTTGTAGTTGTTCCAATCATATGTCATTTCAGAAGAGTTGGTTTATCAAGTTGGATAAAAATATTAAAACTAAGGTCAAGTTTACAGATAATTCTACAATAAACTGTGAAAGAAAAGGAAAAATTTTGATTAGAAGAAGAGATGAGAAATCTGTAATAATTTCATATGTACTTTGTGTTCCAACCATTAAGCACATATTGAGTATTTGTCAATTTCTGCAAAAAGGACATTTAATTGATTGGATATCGAAGGAGCGAATGTTAAGAATTCTCGATAAAAATGGAACATCAACTCTAAAGGTTCCTCTAAGCAACAACAGGACTTTTAGAATTGGTATTTCAGTATCGAATCATATAAGTTTTGCGGTTGCCCGATGTCAATTGATTATGGCATTTGAGATATAATCATCTAATATTCGACAACCTAAACCAATTAGAAGAGAAGGTGATAGGATTGCCTCGAATTCAGAGGGGGAAGTCACTTACATGATTGGAAACAGGTATTTTGTTATGTTTATCGATGATTTCAGTAAAAAGATATAGCTATATTTTCTTGAGAGAAAATAAAAAACTTTTAATTGTTTCTCGAGTTCTAAAAATTGGTCAAGAAACAAAGTAACAAAGTTATTAAAATGTTGAGATCAGATGGTGGTGATGAGTATAATAATGGTAAATTTGTATCATTTGGCAAGAAAAAATGTATTCTACATGAGATTGTACCTCATATACACCACAACACAATGGTGTTACTGAAATAACAAATCAAATAATTCTTAACGTAGTCATAAGTTAGTTGAAAAGAAAAAGTATGTCACATTCTTTTTAGGGTGAAACAATTGTCACAACAACTTATATTTTGAATTAATGTCTAACTAAGAGAGTAAAAGAGAATACACTAGAAGAAGTTTGGTCACAGAAAAATCCTAGTGTAAAGAATTTGAAGGTGTTTGGTTTGATTTTTTGGAGACTGTGACATTTTTTTTCTTATTATTATTATTTGTATAACGATAGTAGGTAAACAAATATTATATATATGTAAAATTAATTTACATCACTATATATATATATATATATATATATATATATATATATATATATATAGATATACAAAAGAAGAAGGAATTTTATTTTTGATTCCTTCTATTTTTTCTACAATTTTACAAATATCTACATTGCTTGGTGAAAACAAACTGATTAAGGGGTTTTGGAAAAAGGTAGGAGGCATACAAAAGGTAATTACTACTTGGTCCATCTAACATAATGAGATTTCTCATATCGGTACAAATGTTATTATTGATAATCATGTCCCTCTAAAAGTAACTGAGTTGTCTATACCGTTCGTGTTTCAAGTAGTTCCTGGGAAGAAGGTGGTGATGCTTGCAGATAAGGGATTTGGAATATTTGGCGCCTCCATCTACTTAAGTTGGTGTTTAAATAAAACATGCACAAAAGATCACAATAGGGAGTGAGAACATTTATCATTTACAATAATACAATCTTATATAGATATATATGTTTCAACTTCCACAACACATTCTATTTTATGAAGATTTAAAATTAAATTTGTAGTGACTAGTCAGGATAAATGAGCCCAATATTAATCACTCTCACAGTGATATTTACTCATTTAAATCCCCAAGGTTCAACCTCCATCTACAATATCATCAAATCTTCACAAATAGATATTATTATAATTGAATAATATAACTATAAATTAATAAATAGGATCGCTGCATTACTAGAGATAAAATAAAG